TTTTTTTTTTTCAGAGAATTTGCATCGAACTAATTGGCTGATCTACACATTTACTTATTTTTTTTCAGCTCTTATTTTTGATTTTGTAGGATAGTAGAGAATCAACAACAACGGCTGATCGCTCAGTTACCAGCATATTACCCGGGAATAAGTGGCTGCCGCAGCGTTGCTGAGTTTGAATGTCTCAATAGGATTGAGGAAGGTACTTTTGGTGTCGTCTATCGTGCGAAAGAGAAAAGAACAGGTTATTTTTGATTTAATCTTGACATATTTATTCGATCACTGTCGTTTACATTCCTCATGTATAGGTTCTCTCAAAATAATTTCGTTTTTGCTTGATGTGTAAAAAAACTCCTGGACCGTCACACTGTTTATTAACTTAAAATGCTAGTTTAGATGAAGTAGTAGCTTTGAAACGGTTGAAAATGGAAAAGGAAAAAGAAGGATTTCCAATTACATCACTGCGAGAGATTAATATGTTATTAAAGGCTGGTAATCACCCAAATATTGTAAATGTCCGAGTAAGTTGATTACATGGTTATGTTTTTAGTTTTTAGATGTTTGATTTCTGGGTTTTTTTTGAGTAGTTTGAGTTCTTCGAAATTGTTAGACCTGTTAATTGCTTTCGTTTCGTTCAACGCTGAAAGATTTTCAGGAGATTGTTGTTGGCTCAAATATGGACAAAATATACCTTGTAATGGACTACATAGAGCACGATATGAAAAGCCTTATGGATTTTATGCATTCACGACAGAAACATTTCACCATCGGTTGTTTTAAGCTAATTGTTTCTCGATAGTGAATTTTAGAAATTAGGGTTTTCAAGTTTCTTGTTATTTTTTAATTTCTTGTTCCGTAACTTATTATAAACCTGATCTTCACCATTTTTTGTTGTCTATATTCTGCATTTTATTTATTAGGTCAAATCAAGACTTTGATGCGCCAACTTTTATCGGGTGTAGAACATATGCACAATGAGTGGATTCTGCATCGTGACCTCAAAACTTCAAATTTATTACTTTCCCACAAGGGGATTTTGAAGGTATGTTGTTTTCA